ACTAATCGCAAAAATAATCGGTGACTAGTCGACTATCAAAATAATCGTTTGTGGCAGCCCTAGTTAGGAAGTGGCATACTGTTTTCACATATTTGTTATTTCAACTCAGATAGCCAAGTTTACTATGTCAATATGTCTATTTACTCTGGAGAAGGCTGTAAAACTGAGAAATTTGTCCAGGATGGGTGGATCAATCAGTAGAGCTCACTTCTATCTGATGACAATACTGAATTGAGTTGATATCCTGAATCTTTCTGTCAGTAAGCACTGCCGTTTTGTTAGCTGGTGTTCATAAAACTTTGATCTAACATTGTTTGACTCAGACACCTGGAAAATTAATCCTGACAATATATTCAATGTGTTTAGAGGGAAAGTGATTTTTAGGACACAGAAGCCTAATATTAGCTGTTGTAATGTTAGCCCATAACCACCCACCTCATTGTCAGTTGGTCTTTGCTTTATTGATTTAAAGAGCACTCTACACAGGATAAAAACCACAAAGTGCTTCACAATAATGGTCGGAGACAAAGGAGACCACAGGTCTAATCTGCTGACAATAAGTAATTGTAATAAATAGTGAGTAAATAAGAATATTTATGAATGTTTTTGTGCGTTACAGCCCTGAGTTTGATTCAAAGGATCTGATGATGTGAGTTAAAACAGGGCTAAGATCAGGACCTAACGTAATGATTTCAAACCTTTTGCTCATTCAAATCCACGACAGCAGTTCTCAGATTCTTGTCAACAATAAAATCCAAGTATTTAACAGAAGGTGTTACAGATTAGACATTGTTCATATCCAAGGACCCAACCTCAGACAAAATCCTTTTTGATTTAAAAACATTTGTGATTGGGTTCAGTCCCAAAAAACCCTCGTCTGTCCAGCTCAGGGTTTTTTGTAGCTTTGATTTCCTTAATCTTACCTATGTGTAAGCCTCTTATCTTGACTTTATCTCTATCCCTATGTCACTCACAGCACACAGTCATCTGCATATAAGAACAAATAACTGGAGGAGCAATGTTCATCGTTTATATTAAGGAGGTTCTCCACAACTGATTCTGCATTTATTTCTTCTTGTAGTCAGGTAGGAACTTCTTCCACTTTATGTTCTGCAAACAGAACATAAGAAAAGTTCATATATTAATATTTTGCTGCTTACAGTAAGA